CATAATTTGTAGCCGACACATACATGTTTTGGTAAAATTGTTTTAAAAACGAGGAAAACCACTTGGAATCTCATCACAAAACATTTACGGGTAATTCCAGAAATGGGGGCCAAAAGTGTAACATTTTTGTGTCCCTGTAACATCTGACCTTTGTTATTCGACATGGAAATATCACTGGATACCAGAGTTGATTTCAAACTATTATTGTTTGTTAGGCAGGTAATTTGCATTATTTCATCACTCATGGAAATTAGAAAATGCGTTCTGAACACACAAAATCATAATGTCAGATGTGACAGGGACACGAAAAGAAATGGACCCCTAATTTCTGAAATCACCGTTTTAGCCGACCAACGCTGCCAGAGCCCAGACTTATGGCAGTAATAGTCTGGATACCAGACCCCGATGATTCCGACAAATGGTGCATGATATGCGGTAGCACTTTCGACCACATGTCTGGTGTAGGGTCTGCAAGCTCTACAGGCTCTAGACAGTGTACCAAATAGGCCCTTTTCGAGTAGACTGACGCCTATATCCCGCTTAACATCTTGGGCATTGGTGTAATGGGCACAATCCAACCCGTGCACGTGGCTTTCCCATGGCTTACCTGGCTGAAGGTAGCCCGCGATTCAACCTGCGATTCGTTTGGCCTTTGCAATTGGATTCTCCAAACATTACTTGGGTACTCAAACGTCGATATTTTTATTTTTTGTATAGGCCTATGCCTTTGTTACTAAAGAACAGAGTGAACGATAATCGGTGGGGCGACGTGGAAATGGGGCAAAGTGGGAATGGGGTTTCCGCCATGAAGGTCCGGCTTCGCTCCACCCACGCCGAAAATCGGGCTTTGCTGCTGTAGAAAAATCATCTTCACCGTCGTCCGTACACCTGGTATCGCTAGCGTCGGAGGACGACATGTCAGACTCACTATCGGCCAATAATATTTGCAAAATGCCTTCGTTTTCCATGTTTCGACCGTGATTCCTCTCTAGTACATGGTAGTTGGGTTACTCAGATGTGTGAAAAAAGTGGTATAGTGCATCACTTACCCAAGTTAACTTCTACCCTATCAAACGATGCCCGCCTGCCGTCGAGCAATCAATCAGAAGTGGGTGTTGAAGTGAGGGCGCCTTTACGCTTTAGACATCCGGTTCTTGAAGGGCACGTCGGAAGCCAAGGGGTGGCAATTTTTCGTGTTCATCTGGCACTGTAGTGTGCAACAGGGATGTTTCATTTGTGCTATTTTGGCGTAGTGGAGCTGAAACGGTTGATGTCTCACCGGACGTAGCCTTTCGTCAAGGCATTCGTGGCTGTGTGTGTGTGTGTAACTGCAGGAGACCAGACGAGTGACGCAGCCATGAGGTCTTTTCCAACTTGATTTTGAGGTTTTTGTGATTAATTATTTATAAGTTTTCTGGTATGCATTATTCATAAATTTCGTGTAAATAGTTAAAGCAGATTAGTCTCCGAAATAAACGGCATCAACTCCAAAGCTTACGCAATGTTTCCATCTTTTTTTTTCATGAGGGCAATAAGCGGTGAGATGACAACTAGGGCCTATGATGCTTGTTGGTGGGCTGGTGCTGGCATTGGAGTTTTCCAGCAGCATATTCTAAAGAACTGTCCACATACTGCTCAGACAACTGACCTGCACTCACGGCCGCCGACACGCTTGCCACGCTCGCCATCTTTTGTATACTTTCAAATTCCATATTAGGTTAGTGTATGCTTACCCCCTCGCTTATAATTGGCTGAGTAGCAAAAATCAAAAACATAAAAAACAGAAGAAATTCCTGACAAGTTGGAAAAGGCCTCGTGGCTGTGCCACACTTGCATGTGGTCTCCGGTCCAGTCGCTTTGCAGTTACACATAAACACAGCCGCGAAGGCCTTGACGAAAGTCTACACCGGACGTGGAGACCATCAGCGGAAATGGTCAACTCTACGCAAGAAGTGCTTGGGTTTAACAGAAAATGAAAAACCAGGGCTGGTTCAAGAAGCATCAGGGTCAGCTGATCAATAAAAAAACGAGAAGCGCGCCTGGCTTTCGAGAATCAACCTTCAGCACAAAAGAAAAAGAGCTTTCAGCAGGCAACGAGAGACTGCCAAAGATGCCTCCGCGCAATTTGGAACACTTCGTGGCGGGGCAAAAGCAGTGGAAATCCATTAATCTGCGCACCAACGGGACATACGTCGCTGCTATGCGTCCACAAAGAAGATCTTTGGCCCAGCCAATTCGTCGGTGGTAGGCCTTAAAGACTCGGATTCACCCACCTACGGAAAAAAATCGCGTGCATGCAAGCTGTGATTGGGGGGCAGGCCCATGCTTGTATTTGGCCAGAAGTGGCCTATACTCTATTACTTTTTGGCGAGACTTGTTATACCGTTTGGGGTGATTTGTTATAGTTTTTTGGCGCCACGGGGTGCATGGATAGAAGATTTCAAGACTCCGAGGTTGGCTTTTGACTAGCTTGGGCTAGCAGTTTGGCTATGCTTTGTGTCTCAATTCTACCCTGGAATGAATATCGGGGTAATGCTACAGAAGTGTGAGGCTCCAGTTTATATTCCCATCGTCCGCCCATCTCTCGCTGCTTTCCTCTCCCTCCCCTCTTCTTCCCTCTAGCGGTCGGCCGGGGGCCGGACTGCTTTAACCAAATCTGATATCAGTCTACTTGGAACGGTTGACATCTAGCTGAGGGACAGTAGAAACTACTTCACACATACGCTCTGCAACGTAAGGTGTAAACATCTGGAAGCGTCTTGCATTCATCCTTGTATGTTGAACACCACACACTTCTTCAGACAACTATGCTTTCTGTATTTGGATCGAATTCTGCAGCGTTTTATCAGTATTAACACCTGTTTGTCTGGTTATTTCCCACAGCTTATGGAAAAGTATTGATAACAAGAGTGGATAAGAAAGCCTGCAACATTAAATGATAAAACGGTAAACGACAGAGTCATGCGTTCCGGATCACACCAGCTTCAGCTTGATCATTAAGGGACTGGAATTTGACATTACGAAGTGGGGTCAGTGTGTAACTTTCTCCGTTTTGCAACGCGAATACTTTACATGATGTCTGCTTGTGTTCACTTGTACGTATCGAATTCTACACAGACGAGCAGTAATAAGTGGCAGGCCATGCAGTATTTTACATTTGAAAAAGCTGCTTCATATGTGACCCCAAACCTCATTAAAGGCATTGTACCATGTTGCATAAAGAGAAGGTCATCAGTAAAACTGTCAAAGAAAAAAGTACCTCTCTTCTGATGCAAAATCAATAAATAATGACAGGAATCACTGTCTTTTTACAAAGCGGCTGTGGATGACTACAGGGAGGAGTGATGTGTCAATCTAAGGACGCCGAGGCAATGGTTTCTTATACAAGCAGAAATGAATGGACGCAGAAGCCAAAATATCCACTTCATGAAATAAACACTGACATTTGTGATCTGCTTCAATTCAAATGCAGTTGACAGTCGATGCCCAAATGACAGATATTACAAATGAAATACAAGATGTATCATAATCTGTACTGTGGTACAAAATGATTACCCTGATTACTTTCAAGGAAGGGCACTAGTAGCTGGCTATTATAAAACAGCCCCAAGAAGTTGATTATAAAGACAAGTTAGAGCCTGTATTCAGGATCCCCCCATATCAACTAAGATGAATGATCCCCATGATCTTGGCTTCAAACAAATTTGAACTGTCAATAGCATTCTGCAATATGAGACCTACTGTTCATTTCCTTGATCGGGAGGTAGAAAAGGGCAAACTTTGGACGGGAAAGCGGCTAATTCGTGAAGAAAGATACACAGAATATGTATCCAACCAGAAAGTTCGTACGAAGAAGTCTTGCTCTTTCTACCTCAGCTTGAAACTCTATTTGACTTATCTTTTACTACCTTATTTTAGGACCATTGTTTTCAGTGATGACTACTTTAAAACTTGTTCTTTGATTTCCAGAAAGTACAATTATTGTTTGTAGAGTTAAAAGTGTGAGTCTATAAGAATTCTTTGAGTAATGAGGAAAACAATTCCCATCATCAGTTCAAAGTATCATTTTGGCATGCAATGGTCATTTCGTAAGGAGAAAATAAATCACTGCCTAATCAAGAAAACTTCACAAGAATCTTGCCAAGAGATGATTACCATGGGAACTACCACAAGATGGTTATTTTTTCTAAGTAGTCTCGCGCGTACGAACAACGATTAACCAATGTCCCTCGCCTTAAACTCGGTCCTTCTCAGAGCCCACTCCCCATGATACGGCCTTAAACGAATATTTACAAACACCTGGGAGAATTTAGCCATTTCTATTGGTGGCAAACCCGTCACATGGTTGGCAAAGCACGTCAAGCACACATACCTGGATACGAGTGAATTTGGGTATGAGTTGACTATTACTGCATTGCACTGATACGTACAAGTACAGTGTCAAATTGCCCGACTAAAAGCCACAAACAAAAACTTTCCGTTCTCATTCATACCGTTTCCTTCTTGCATTATACTTTCTCATTACAGCGTTCATGATATTCCTCACTATTCAGCAGAAGAGAAATGTCAGGGAAAACTCAGCAAAACTGAAAAAATCCCCTCTAAAATGTTGGCTTCACTTCCAACTTCTGACTCTGTTACTTTGGAAGTAACAGAGACGGGCTCTCGTTTAAGTTTGACTTACACGTGTAAGCTAATCGAACGCACCCATTATGTAGCACCAGCTGGCTTTGCGCCACTTGCGTACTGAGCGTCACGTGCTCGCCAGTTTCAATACAAGGAGATTATTTACGACTGCTTGCAAGAGGAACATACCAAATGTAGCTAGAGGGGTGTTTAAAACATGAAGCAAAATTGTTGAACAAATTCGTAGGAAATTCATATTTATGTCATTTTAAATGTTGTTTAGACTTTGTCACTCAAAATGTGTTATGAATTGGAATAAGTATTTGCTCGGCCTGTGCTTACGTTTAAGACAGGATCATAATTGGTCTGTAATAATGCGTCACCGTTTCCACGAAGAGACAAACTCTAACCGGAGGGTAAAAACTAAGTTTGAAGAAAATCGCATTTGAAGTTGGTCTCTTTTTCAAACGCTTATTTTGCCAGCATATGCGTTTCTTTGACTAGCTGGATGAAACGCAGAGGCGGATGAGGTCGCCGATCCTTGGCAATCTGGCATGCTTCTTCGACGGGAACATTAGTGAATAGCGACACCACGTCGAAGCTCACCATGACGTCTGTGGGCTGGAGTGACAGGTTTCTCGCCTCTGCGTTTCATCCAGCTACTTCAAGTTCCAAGACCAGTTCATCCTCCCTGCAGCTTCAAGTTCCAAGACCAGTTCTACGAGCAGACAGCTAGGACCTCCATGGGATCCCCTATATCCTCGATCCTAGCTAACATCTTCATGGAAGAATTTATTTGAAACATCATCTCTCCTCACTGCCGACCTCAAACCCACGATTTGGCTGCGCTACGTAGACGACACATTCGCCATACGGCCCCATAGTCAAGATCACCTCCAAGAATTCCTCGAGTACCTCAACCAGCAACACCCCACTATCAAGTTCACCATGGAACAAGAACAAGACGGACACATCTCCTTCTGAGATGTCCACCGGTCCAGAAACCCAGACGGCATCCTCAACCACCGTGTCCACCGCAAGCCTACCCTCACCGACTGGTACCTGCACCAGAGATCTTTCCACCACCCAGCCATCAAGACCTCAGTCGACCACACCCTCGTCTGTAGAGCCAACGAGATCTGCGACCAGAACAACCTACGCCAAGAACTCCACCACATCAAGTCCGCCCTCCAGATGAACGGCTAACGCAACCAGCGCATCAGCCTTTCCAAGCCTCCGTTAAGGTCTCCTATACCTGAAGTTCCCCCCCTCCCCCACGGCATTAGGGTCACCTATGCCCGAAGCCCCCGACCCCCCACCGCTGCAGTATGTCTACCATACATGGGCCCCACTTCCCACCAACTCCGCAGCATCCTGCAGTCGGCCAACATCAAAGTTTGAAAACGTATGATTTTGGACCACTCTGTCACTTTGCTTAATGCATTATATTCGTGACTATTTACCAGCAAAGCACATATATATTCCCTTAATATGGCTCGCCTTAATTTTATACGTTTGATTATAATTAATGTGCGCTGACACTTTTGCACAGCTGATTTCTGTTGCAGTTCATGTAAGTGCACCGTTACAGGGTCAACACTTCCCCACCAGCAGGCCAGTTCTTAGGGAGGGTTGCTTCGATTAGCTCTCAGATTTCCATACACTGGATAGTGCGTTAAGATTGAACGGTAAAATCACTTGGCCCCATAGCGGCCTAGCATTATTAGGCATAAACACCAGATGAAATATCTACGGGAGTCTCGAGACATCAGCGACAGCTAATTGTTGAGTCATATATACCGTTTTGTGTGGGCTCAAAATGCCTACGACCTTTAAGCCTAGGGGCGATAAAATAAACAAGTAAATGAATCCTGTCTTTAATTAAATGTTCATTTAATAATCGCTCGATACTTCTTGAAAACTGGGACAAAGTGTAGAGTACTGCACTGCACTTTTGTGTTCGAGGCTCAAATATTGAGAATCGATGGCGGTAGAATCACGTCAACACAGCTTATATCATGAATTGGACGCGGGACGGGCAAAATTTGAGGCGGGGCCGGTGGCATTATTACTATGACTCAATGTACACCATATCATGTTCAAGGACGGAGCGGATTGTGTGCACGGCACCAAGCGTACGGATTGAAACTAACTAATGCACAGTATGGTGTTCTATAGCCGTCATTTGTCGACGCTACAACAGCTCTGTCGCGTTGTGCCGTCGCTTCGTGGCGTCGCCTCCTTTCTCATTACTTTTATGCTGCGTATAATGCATTACGTCGTGCCGTTGTGGCGTCGCGTTGTGCCGTCGCGCCGTTGCGTCGTGTCCTGCTGTCTTGCCGTCGCGTCGTGTAGTCGCGTCTTTCCGTCGCCCCTTGGCGTCATCCCGTCGCGTCGTGCCGTCGCATTGTGCTCTCGCTTTCGTCAGGTACGACGGCAGGATTTGACGAACGACGACACGACGCTAAAGCTCGACTGGACGGTGCGACGACACGACGCGACGGCAATACATCAGGACGCGACAGCACCGTGACAAGGGCAAGACGTTGCATAAACCCACACTGCATAAAAACCATACCCTGACAGGCGACGCAACGCTATGACGGCATGACGCAACGCTACAACGGCACGATGGGACGGCAAGACGGGACGACACGACGCGACTTCATCAAGAAACAACACCACGCGACGGCACAACACAACATAAAAGTAATGAGAAAAGAGGCGACGACACGAAGCGACGGGACGAAGCGACGGAGCTGTCGCGCCGTGGTGTCGGGGCGACGGGACGACGCGACTCAATTTTTGGCGGCTATAGAACACCACAGCATTGTTACCGTAGCTGTAAGCTCATGGGTCTGCACATACAGATTTAACCCATGTTTAAACTTAAGATGTCAGTGATCTTGTCACTGTCATTAGCACAATTAGCGCCTACTGTCAAGTTACTCTTCGTTCGCTGAACTATGTGACCTTTAAAACAGCAGTGAAGAACTGCTTGACTGGTAACAGGAGCAGCAGTGGCAAGACTATGGAGGGAACGTGCCCCCCCCCCGGTGAATGTCCTTGCCCACCCTGGGTGCCCCCCCCATTTGAAATCCTTGAACAACTTCTGCAGCAGCTCATTGTCTCTGGGTGCTCCCTTGAAAAAAAAAAACGATTGGACCCCGGGTGCCCCCCAGACCAGACAATGGTTTAATTGAGGTTATGTCACGCGGCACTCCTGTTAGGACTAATTAGGATTAGAAAATACCTTGTCCCGTTGTCATCCTCAACCAATCATATAAATTCTACATGACAGGAAAGATCATTTATTAACGAGTAGTTTGGTATTTAAACTGGTAAAATTAACCTACAATGGCGCTGAAATGCTTCTGCAATAACGTGACAGCCGCACAATCTTGGTTTATTCCACTTAAAAGTGAGCCCCCAATGGATTTCAAAAAGAGTCCGGCAAACTTAAACAAGTTTAGCTTTGAAGTTCCAATACATACAATCATAATATTCACTTTCTTAATCTAAACCTCAATGAACCTAACAAATACATTCAGCTCAGCCTGCCGAAAGATATTTTGCATTTGGTACGAAAATCGACAAAAATGCCTGTCACTACAGGACTTTTGCAAGGCATCCAGCGTCGAGTTGTCCGCAACATATTCATAATTCTTCGCTCAACGGAGAAGGGTAATCCATGTAGAAATGTTCATCGAGCCAAGAAAAAAATACATCTCTGAAATCTTTTGATAATAACAACTCCTCACAAAAACATGGAATGCAATACGTGGGAAATTCTTGTTTATAAAAACACATGTCATATTGAATTAAGAAAAGATTAATCGCTATACTATCTGCTCAATATGTGACTTAAAAAGTTTATTCTCTAAATGTGAGGGTAATGTAAAGATAACAGTCGACGACTTTGCTCATTTTGTCAATTCTGAAGGTAATGGTTAAACGGAGATTACGGAATTCCAAAACACATAAATACGCTGCAAAATCCTTTGACAAATTACGCCAAAGTTGAAGCTGCAGTGGTAAAATCTGGTGGGTTAAAGTTGGTAGTCTTTGCATCATTTGCTAAAAGTTCACAGTCCTATCGTCCAACTATGAAGCTTCTTCTGTTGTGTCTCAGTGTTGTTCTGGCTCATGCTGGCCTCGCAAGCGTGAACACAAAATGAGCAGAACGTTGACTGCGAGCCAGACTAATTAAGTTTGTGCTACTTTCACCACAGACACTTGTAAATCAAATTAAAAAAATGAGTTCCCAACTTGACTAAAGATTTACATTTAACAACGACTTTTTGGAAAGAAAAAGGTCAGTGTTAACTGAGAACGAATAATTTTATAATTTAGATAAAGTTTCTCTTATTGCATTGATTGAATTTCCTTGTTTGTTACTTCACTCGATGGAAACGTCAGCTCTCTGTCTCTCGCTCTAGTTTTATCTCTGCCTTGAAGATGGATATTCCGTCACTCATATCACATCGTCTGTCACACTGTTTGGGTTCAATGCGTCTGCAGATCTCACATACACAAACCATGGCTTGCTTCGAGATTTTTCCAGTGAAATCTGGGGAAAATAAGCTACAAATTAATCATTCCGTTTTTAAAACCACTTTTGCCCATAAATAATACTTCAGACAGTCCCAATCATTATAGCACAAGGCGTGCAGAAACCTTCTGAATGTGCGACTCACATGTCAAAAGCCGTTCCTTCTCCCCAACTTGATTTTACCATCGATCGCTGGCAATTCTCTGCTGCGCACACCTCAACCATGATTCTTTCCAAATTTATCCATTCCGGTGGCAGAATTCAGCTTTTCTTCGACATCTGACGATTGAAGTACAATAGCCTCAACCAGCAGTTTGGAAATCTCCGTTGAAAGTGTACGCAACAAAATTCGCAACGCTTGTCATTTACCCTCCTGAAATTATGCACACGCGGGACGCGTTTTGGACGCGATATCCTATCCAGTCTTTATAATCGAGATCAATGAGTGTAACCCTATGCACGTGCGTTATTTTTTTCCAGGACTTGTGACATACACCCTCTATTAATTGGCCTTTTTTTAAGAAACAGTCAGGTACGACGGCAGGATATGACGAACGACGACGCGACGGCAAGACATCAGGACGCGACAGCACAACGGCAAGACGTTGCATAAGCCCACACTGCATAAAAATCATACCATGACAGGCGACGCAACGCTATGACGGCACGACGCAACGCTACAACGGCACGATGGGACGGCAAGACGGGACGACCGTCGCGACATCATCAAGAAACAACACCACGCGACGGCACGACGCAATGGCAAGACGGCACGACACAATGTGTTAAACACAACATAAAAGTAATGAGAAAAGAGGCGACGACACGAAGCGACGTGACGACGCGACGGAGCTGTCGTAGCGTCGCGCTGTGGTGTCGGGGCGACGGGACAACGCGACGCAATTTTGGCGGCTATAGAACACCACAGCACCGTTACCGTAGCTGTAAGCTCAAGGGTCTGCACATACAGATTTAACCCATGTTTAAACTTAAGATGTCAGTGATCTTGTCACTGTCATTAGCACAATTAGCGCCTACTGTCAAGTTACTCTTCGTTCCCTGAACTATGTGAAGAAGCAGTGAAGAACTGCTTGACTGGTAACAGGAGCAGCAGTGGCAAGACTATGGAGGGAACGTGCCCCCCCCCCGGTGAATGTCCTTGCCCACCCTGGGTGCCCCCCCCCCATTTGAAATCCTTGAACAACTTCTGCAGTAGCTCATTGTCTCTGGGTGCCCTCTTGAAAAAATGATTAGACCCCGGGTGCCCCCCAGACCAGACAATAGTTTAATTGAGGTTATGTCACGCGGCACTCCTGTTAGGACTAATTAGGATTTGAAAATGCTTTGTCCCGTTGTCATCCTTAACCAATCATATAAATTCTACATGACAGAAAATATCATTTATTAACGAGTAGTTTGGTATTTTAAACTGGTAAAATTAACCTACAATGGCGCTGAAACGCTTCTGCAATAACGTGACAGCCGCACAATCTTTTGATAATAACAACTCCTCACAAAAACATGGAATGCAATACATGGGAAATTCTTGTTTATAAAAACACATGTCATATTGAGTTAAGAAACGATTAATCGCTAAACTATCTGCTCAATTCTCTAAATGTGAGGGTAATGTAAAGATAACAGTCGACGACTTTGCTCATTTTGCCAATTCTGAAGGTAATGGTTAAACGGAAATTACGGAATTCCAAAACACATAAATACGCTGCAACATCCTTTGACAAATCACTTCAAAGTTGAAGCTGCAGTGGTAAAATCTGGTTGGTTAAAGTTGGTAGTCTTTGCATCATTTGCTAAAAGTTCACAGTCCTATCGTCCAACTATGAAGCTTCTTCTGTTGTGTCTCTGTGTTGTTCTGGCTCATGCTGGCCTCGCTCCTCTCCGTACGACCAACGAGCGCTCCGTACCTGACAGCTGGATCATAAAAGTCGAGGTAATTTTCGAAAGCATCGATGCACATATTTTTATAAGGCTTGGCGCGAAAGCGAACACGAACGCGAATTTGTGACGTCAGATCAAATATTTGTACTGCAAATTTGCAAAAGTTGAACACACTTCCACTCTGTGAATTTGAGTAAGTAGCATATCTTTCATAGCATCAAATCCGCTTGGCTGTCACATTCGACTGAAGTATGAACCGGGCTTAATATTACCTTATTGTCATTTTGAGATGAACTTCAACACCAAAGTTTTCTTATGCTTTAGTAATTTGTATCATCTATATGCTCGAATAACTCCTCTTTATGTATACCTTTAGTTATACCTTTTTTAACAGTGTTCACCGCTGGTTATCGCTAGACGAAACTCAAGTCAAGATATGTCGATGAATCGACGTATGGTGAATTAGCTGGAAGGGCGTGCGCTCCTCAATTAGTCAGTTATATGTTGGGTGCGAACCATTACGGGTTATTTACAATAAAATGTGTCATGATCAGGACTTATTGCAAAACATCTATTAATCAATCATTTGAGACCATGTCATTTGCAAAAAGTTCATCTAGTGAGCTTATTTTGTATCAGTGGGTGAATACGTTCAGACCTCGGCAACGAGACTTACTCCTGGGTAGTATTTTATAAGCATTTTGATTAATTACTACAATCTAATATAACACTGATGTATTGTTAGGATTTTGACCTGCTGGAGCGCGTGCAACAAGAGATCGAGGACATCTTTTCCACTTTCCGTGCACCTGCTCCCAGAATCAGTAAACTGGAAGACCTTATGCCGGTTCTGACCCTGAAGATTCCACAGCACATCCTTACTCGGGTAAGTTACCAGGTCAACCGAAAGTAAAGTTCCTGTCACGCAGGAGGTAGCTTTGAGTTGTCCGTTTTGTGTTTGCAAAATGTATTTTGTTTTAATTCTCTTGTATTTTTTTTTCTAGGGAGAAATAGCCACATTTAAAAGCGGTTCAGTTTTTTTTTTGTGTGTTACTTTGGTGTGTTCTTTGTTGTTGTATAAGTTACTGTTATTGCTTGTTCTTGAAATGCTAAACGACATCATTTTGGTTCAGGTGCGTGCTATTGAGGGCGTTGAGTACATTCAAGAGGACACCATCGCAACACTTTTCGGCTCACAAAACAATCCACCATGGGGTATTGATCGCATCGACAGTCGCACTGGAACGGACAATGTGTTCAACTTCAACGATAGTGGTATGTTACTTTGGCATGACTTGATCATTACTTTTATTAATAATAATAATAAAAAAAAATAACTGACATTTATAAAGCGCCCAATCCATCAAGCTGCTCCCAGGCACTCTACTTCAAAATATAGATAAATAAATATAACCTACATGTACCATAATCAAAATCAATAATAAGAAACTAAAAATGCGTGTTTAAAAAGGTGCGTAAATGGTATGTTTCTTTGGCATGACTTGATTATTGCTTCCATTAACTGCCAGGGAAATCAGTAAGCAAAACGTACGATTTAAAAGGTGCCAGTTCCAAAGAAAGAGGATGAAACACACCAAACTAACAACTTAAAACAGTTTCCCTTTCAACTTAGTTATTTCCAATAATGGTAATGATGGTAACACAATGAGTGGTAATACTAAGTAATGGTTAACACCCCTGCCAAGCCGAACGTACTACTTTTTTCATATTTCCCAAGTAAAGCATCTCGGTCGGGGGCTTTTCTTTCACCAAATGTAAAATCTTATTATCTCTTTACAGTTTTCTTGACACTAAATGCTCAAAAACTGTCATTTTCTCTGCTAGCTCAGGGTGAAGGGGCGAAAATATTCATTGTGGACACCGGCATCAACACTAATCACGAGGCGTTTGGCGGACGAGCTTCCCTTCTGTATGGGGTTGCTGATGATGGAGGACATGGAACTCACTGCGCTGGTACTGCTGCAGGAGAAATCTACGGTATTGCACGTAAAGCTGAAATCTACAGCTGCAAAGTGTGCAGTCATGGAGCATGTGGGCTTTCTACAATTAGCAAAGGTATGTTTGTCAATCACTTCATTCTAATAACTTCTTTGTAATCATCTCACAAGTGTTATTCATGTGTACAGTTTTCTCACAGCGACATGCTTTTGTCTCGTGGCACTACCACAACACACTGAAACTTTGTGTACTAAATAGGTCATGGCATAGGGTTGGGATGTAAATAATGCAAATTCCTCCTTCCGTAATTACGGCGATGGAACAAAAACTATTCAGAGTCACAGATGTTTGAGTGCAGATTTTGTAGACCGCTCTTTTGCTTTGTATCAGTGCTATTTGTTGCTCATCTGGTACAATTCAACCATGAGAAAACTGTGCTGAAACTGCAATGGTAGTGTTGATTTTGTAAAGTTATACTCCGTATATTAAATACCTGAATGCAAGGGGGCAACAACTCCTACTTGTGTGTAAGTCCCCATAGCTGAAGATAACGGAAAGATTCTGATTTTTTTGGTCAATTTACACGAGGAAATTAGCAGATGTCTTCCCATAGTAAAGTATACTTTTCAATTTTCTTTCTTTAATGAAATATGTTTTTCGATTTCGTTTTCACAAGGTACTTTTTCAGAGTTTATTTCGACAAGATATATTCTCCAATTAGTTCTTATTTGATGTATTTTTAGAAAAACTGTTTCTATTTTTGGAACCAAATCATTCTTAAGAGATATTCAGTATTTTTTTTTTCTATTTTTGTTTTTTTAAGATCTATTTTTCCAAAATGTACAATGCCCAAATTCATCGGCATTCACGCCTCTTCCCTTATAGATTTGGGGAAACAGGACGCTGAAAATGGACTTAGTCACCTGAATAGAGGTCCTCTTCCGTAGGCCCCTTTGGGGGCGTGTTTTACTCGCGCAGTTTTCAAAAGGGGTAAACGCAACTCTTCTCTGCACTCGGGAAAAACAATCCATGCACGTGTTCATATCTAGAGACATGAATACCACGCTGCTTTATTCGGATAGCGATCTTCTTTACTTCCCAACTAATAGTTCCGATTAATGTTTTTTATTTATTTATTTTCTCATAAGGTTTGAATGCTATTGTCAAAAAGTTTGGTTCCGGCCCCGGCATGGGCGTGGTATCAATGTCCCTGGGTGGAGGGTATGGTCCCTACTTCAACTCTCTTGTCCAGAACATGCTCAACAAGGGGTACACAGCTTCTGTTGCTGCGGGTAACTCAAACCAGGATGCATGCAACGTTTCACCTGCATCTTTGAAAGGGGTGAGGTTTTTTGTTGTGTAGTCCAAAACGTATAAATACCGAGCGCATTTGTCGATACGCCATTGATATTTCAATATAAATCTAACACGTCTACGATACCTTAAGGCAGATTTGAGTGTATAATATTATAATTGGTGTAAATTGGTGATACACGGGATTGTGGGTTATGCTGTTTCACCATTTCTTAAGAAAAAGCATTGTGACATGACGGAAGTCGTTGGGGGCAGTCTGGCACAATGTGACCCTGGGCAGTTGGGCACAGTTTGACCTTTGCAAGAAAAATAGCAAAAAGTCATATCAATAGGCATAAGCTTAATAATGTAGCGTACGCCTACCACTCGAAACCACCAGACATACGCTCGGGATTATGATTTGATTTACCTATCATTTGCCAGACGTGCTATGCCTTATTCATATTTTATCCCATACACAAGGTCATCTTGTACCATACTTTCCGACCCTATGCTATTCCTATTCATCCCTAGGTCATCTTGTGCCATACATTTTCCTGTTCATATCAATATCATATTATATATTCTGCTTATGCCAATTGATGTGACCTTTTACTATTTTTCTTGCAAAGGTCAGACTGTGTCCCAACTGCCTAAGGTCAAATTGTGCCAGTCTGCCCCCCAACTACTGATGTATGGGGTAACTAAAGCTTGGTTTCCATATGATCGCAACAAATGCCGACCGCATGCAAACCATCAAGACACATACAGTCGCAGAACAGACCCTGCGTGACTTGATTCCACCCAAAAATTTGACAAAACCGTCCGAAACTCGAAAACATTTTGCATAAAATGTGATTCTTTACGTGGCATGCCCCTTTAATGCCAAACTAATACTCCGGTTTGATGTATTTTGCTTATGGCTAGCTATTTTGTTGACGGCTGGGGCTGCATATGTCAGTAATAAGGAAGAAAATGACAGCATGAGTGGTTAAAATGAGAGGAACATGAAAAAAAAAACCTGAAGAATTACAACAAAACCAGTTCTTGGTTATGACAGCCAAAACACACCCCTGTCTGGGGCTAATTTGCGGTTGTCTGGGTTACTGGCAACAATTCCGTTTTCCATGTGTCTGCGTTGCACCTCGTGTCTGGGTTGCGCTTCGGTCTGAGTTTCGTACGTCGATATGGAAACAATGTTGAAACGCATCATTGGCTGATTTGTTTGAACTGTTTGGTTATATGGACGTAACACGACCAGACATCCACTTTGTCCGAGTTACTACGACTTTAATCTCACCATTTTTTGTGATGAGGAAAGATCATAACTGATTACCGGTGTGACCAATACTGTTTGCTTGATAGGCACTCACCGCTGGGGCCACGACTAGGAAGGACAAACGCGTATATTTCTCCAACTGGGGCTCTTGCGTTGACCTGTTTGCACCCGGTGTGTACATCAAGAGTGCGAGCCACAGCTCTAACACCGGAACTGCAACAATGTCTGGCACTTCAATGGCATGTCCTCATGTGACAGGTGAATTCGCCTCCATGCTAGTACATTTGCGGCAAATTGCTTTTTTAGCCATTTCTCCGCATTGTTGGTCTCTCCGTCGTGCATAGGTGTTCAAATTGAAGACTCTGATTTGATTTTTTTATAATTTTTTGTAATTTTATCTTTAAAATATAAGAAAACACAAATAAACTGCAAAGCTGAAAAGCCAGCCTGTATAGTTATATTAATTCCTGCTGTTGTTATTTCTATAGCATTTTAAACATCAGCATATGAATCATATTTCTAAAACTTTTCTGCAGGTGCCGCTGCTGTTTATCTGGGATCGAACCCAGGTTCGTCTCCAAGTGCTGTGCATGATGCCATCGTGAATAATGCGACTCCCGACGTAGTGTCTGACCCCAAAGGATCCCCCAACAGGTTGCTCTATGTCCAGGTAAAGGTTGAATTGCGTTTTACCAAAGTGATAGTGGATGTACGGTCATGTTGCTCAAAAATCATTGAACGAATTACTCAGCGTCAACGAACCATTCGGATATGAGACTTCTCCCAACAAACGAAATCCTTCCAAATTTATAACAAAATAATTGCGCAATTTTAAAAGAGACACCGAATTTGATGATGGCAAAATATCTTCAGTACCTACACATACCACGTGCAGTGGAATTTATTAAGCAATAATCTAAATGTGAGGTGCCTAATATTCTCAAGAGGATTGTAAATGCCATCTTTAGTTCTGTGCCCTAAACAAAATACAAAGACTGAAACTGATTTGAATGACAAGATCCAAATCCTGTGAGGAAGGACACGAGATAGAGTGCATTAGAAAATCGTCATTATTTTGTAACAAGCCACCATCTCCTCAATAAACTGGGACACTCGATATTATTGTTAATCTGACACGTTAAATCTTAAAATGTTTTTCTTACTTTAATTTGCAGCCCTGAGTACGGACCACGGATGCCGAAGACCAAAATCACGTGACCAGATTTGAGACGTTTGCCAAGCATAACGAAACAATGGAACGAGACGGCCGAATGACGGTAATTCTACACCATCGAATAAATTTAGAGCTGAATCCTCTGCAACAAAATGTTGAACACCTCATTGCACAACTTATGGAAATTGTATCAGTGCAGCTGCATGGTGATCTCAATGCGTAAAGCATATATACATGCCTAACCCCCTTGAAATGCCGCCTGCTTGAACCTACAGTGTAATGCGTGTATTTTCAAGTGTACGCCCATAAAACATGTTCATATCAAACCAACACTGCAAAGCACCTACAGTGTGCACTCTTTAAAGATTCTTTGACCTACGGTAACAACTTCAAAAAGACAAAAAAGAAATATCAGGACTCTGCGAAGGTTCACTGAAAACCCTGTATTGCGATGTTTAAACTGAAAGAAAAATTATATAAATCTCAAGCGTTCTGTGAATAAAATAAAAAAAAACCTGCACTTGCATGTACCTTATATCCTGTTTTTCATTATAGGTGTTTAATGTGAGTGTTTGATGCTATCTTATCCTACAGAAAGAAAACGTATAACTACATCGGTATTAAACAGGTTTTTTGTAGATCCATTGTACTCTTCATTCGCAGTCCGGCATTTTCGATGCCAGGCCAAATACAGATCTGGTATTGTGGTTTCGTCTTCGATTATTGATATTTTTATATGGTACTATGATAAGCAACCGTAGACGTAGACAACAATGACCGTTTCAAACAAGTTCTAACATCGTAAATATAACAACGAAATTAGTAGTCAGTGTATAGCGTCAATGCATGCAGCGGCCTCCTCTTTTCTGCTCCAAAAACCACTTAGCTCTTTTTTTCCACGTGGGAAACCGTGACATATTTTGGTAAAACCTCAACGCTCTTTCATCAAACTCTGAAGATAAAACGTTTTGCAACTTTCGTGACCATGTTCAGTTTTAAATACGCCTTAATATTTCTGATACAATTGGCTCTTTTTGGTCGACAAGCCGGATCGCCTTTTTTTGCAACGTAAGTCACTTCAAGTGGATTAAGGCGCTCCAAATCCATTTACAATTCGACAATTTATGAAAACAGTAAAGGACAAGAGAAAACTTAATGAGGGAGATTATACTTCGACCCAGTTGCACGTACACTACTAAGCAGATGTTAAAAGGTGGCTGCGGGGACGTTTTCTGCAATTGTATAATCTTTTTCTCAGTAGGAAAGCTATTTGTTATCCCCATTTCAAAAATGCCCTTTTTATACACTTACAATCCTCAATACTTTCCTCGACTTCTTGGAGCGCTGTTGTTGTGATGTCATCTAGGGAGGACCTGGCTCAGGGTACAGATTTTTCTGTTCCAAGTGTGGACCAAACTTAACTCACTGAGAACATTTCTGAAGGGGTAGCTGCTTACTGATTGCTGTTTACTTTGATGCCTGCAAAATATTTCGTTAATGCAGATTTTTTTGCACAAACCAATGCAGTATTGAGGTTTTTTCTTGAAATGAGCATCACAGTTTTTCTCACAAATACGGATAAGCCTAATAGCATACAAGCAAAACGGAAGTAAAACCTCATTCAACTATTGAAATAAAATGTGAAAAAAATGGGACTAACAGTTGCATTTTGGACGTTTGTATTTTTTAATGCATTGCAGCAGCCCTTCCAGTTGCAATGCAAACACACCAAAATCCACGTTCAAAAAGCATGTCACCGACACTTGCTACAGTGTGAAGAGTTTCAGCTATTTCCTTAGATATTCAGACAGATATTGGAAATTGAATTATTAAGAAACTCTGAAATCAGCACGAAATAGCGAAAAACTGTGTAATTACATCATGTGGACTCTTCACTATAAACGCCCAGTGTGAAAATACACCTTAGGTTCATCATAATAGTTCATTTAATTTCATAATAACACATATGAAACTACCAGTACCTGATAGTTCTGCAAAACATTAAACCAATCATCCTAATTAATTCGTACCTCCATGCCTCAGTTGCCCTCAAATCGATCAGAAAAGAGTGGTTTGTTCCATAAGGATACACACGAGTAGACGTTTTGGGCATACCTCCGTGATAAAAGCACTGACCAGGAAGATGTCTGCCGTGCATAACCTCTGTATGATGAATGTTCTCTCAGACTGATGTTTATGTGCCAAGGCGGGCAAAGTATGTTTTCTTCAGAAGGATTTCACCAGACTGGACTCACCTCAGAAACAAATTGTCGACTCAAACTTACATGACCTGAGACGGGCCTACCTAGCAAGCCACATGTCATCAGCTCTTCCTTAGTGTCGGCTTCTTTATCTGCAACTGGGGACCATTTATTGTTCCTATTTTGTTTGTACTTTAACACACACTTTTTCAGGGTGAGAAAAAAATCAGAAAAAAAATAAAAAAATAAATGGGCTGTGAAGGATTTTCGGACTTCCCCACAACCTGTTACTCAATATCATTCAAAAAGGGAGAACTTTAAACAGCCACGAAAACAGTTTGGAGAATGCTCTTCTGATTTTCATATTCGCTAGACTTCTGTATTTTCAATTGTACTGTAGCGTAAACCTTCGTGGGTTTTTCTTTTCAGAACACAACACAACACATTTATTCGGCCTTCCTTCTTCACGACTTTTCCCAGACTCATCTATATGTCAGTACATTCGTCATCAGCACAATTACATTCACTAGATTTTGGCAGTGGCCCAATTGATTTTTCCCGGGCGCGCCAATCCTTATTGTTCTGCACCCGGCCGCAACCACAAAATAGGTGTCCAATTACAGGCGTGTTTCCGGAGCCACAGCGCAACCCCAAAACAT